CATGGGAGATAGAACGACTACCAGAGAGTTTGCCATTTACGTAGCATTTCTGTTTTCGATTGTTTAAATAGGAATTAAACCACGATAGCGCATTGTCATCCACCCCATAACACTTGAGTTTACGTATAAGAATTTCGTGATCAATTGTATCGAAAGCTTTCTTTAGGTCAATGAAGATCACTCCGTTAAGCAAACCCTTATCAATATTTACGCACCAGTTATTAGTCGACTCTAATAAAGCTGTAACGGTACTATATGATGCTCGAAACCCTGACTGATAGTTCGACAGTAAGTTGTTACTTGTCAGATAGGAGAAAAATTGGTCATAAACGGTTCTACCAAAAACTTTGGCAACCGCCGATATAATTGAAATTGGACGATAATTACTTAGATCACATTTTTCGCCATTTTTGAAAATAGGTAAGACTTTTGCCATTTTCCAATCAGTCGGATAAATCCCCATAGAAAGCGATCTATTAAAAATTCTGGTTAACGAGGGTGAAAGAATATCAGCGGCTATTTTCAATAATCTACCTGGAATTTTATCAGGGCCGGTCGCTTTGTTAGCATTAATCGTTTTTAGCAAACAATTTACAGTGGACAAACCAATTTTCTCGAAAGAAAGCACACTATGTGTGGATTGAATATAAGAAACGGGATTAACATTCGAGCTAGGTATTTTGTTCGCAAGTTTCTCTCCTATCGAGGTGAAATATGAATTAAAGGCATCCGAAATTTCAGCCGCATTAGTGATTTCATTACCGTCAAGATTGACTTTCTTGACACTGGTTACATCACTCACTTTACGAGAGTTCAGATCGTTGACTAGTCTCCAAGTTTTCCTTGGATCTTTTCGTGCAGCCTCAATATTAGTGATAAAGTAGTTATGTTTAGCCTGCCTAATAGTGTTGTTAGCTTCATTTCGAGCTTTCTTATATTGTAACCAAATTTCATCGTCACGTGTAATATCGAATTGCCTTTTTAGATAATCTCTTTCGCGAATTTTCTGAACTACATGTGAAGTAATCCGGGGAGACTTTCGTTTCCCTATACGTTTCTTTTTAAGTGGGGCATGTTTATCAATCACAGACATAAACAAATTCAACCATTCAGTCCACATACCATTAGGGTCGTTATGCAGACAAACCTGCTCCCAATTTAGATTATTTAAATCATTCAAATATGCATGTTCATTGAAGTTTCTGAAATTTCTCTTTTCAACAAAAGTATTTACCGGTGCCTTATGATATGTACATTTCCGAATAAGGTATACCAGTGAATGATCACTTATACCAAGAGAAAGAACACCGGAAGCTTTTACTTTATCAAGATTATTGGTAATACATAGATCGATTAATGTTTGTGAGGTATTAGTTATTCTTGTAGGTTCAGAAATTGTCTGTGAAAGATTGTAAATATCAAATATATTCAAAAGCTCAGACGTGTTGGAATTTGGTGTGTTTGACAATAGGTTGCAATTCAAATCTCCAAGTAAATACAGTTCGGAATTCTCAGCATCTATCTTATCGATAATTTCCTCAAATAAAGTAAATAATTGTTGGGACGAGCTTGGAGGTCTATACCAAGTACCCACCAAAAACGGCTTTGAACGAGGATTAGAAATTTCGATTATTAGGATTTCAAGATCATTACATGCCAGATCTTCACGAATTCGATAGTTTAGATTACTTCGTATATACATACAAACACCACTACCATTTCTACCATTAACCTTACGGTCTAGCCTAACAACATCATAGCCTGAAAGATGGATTTCACTGTTGCTGATGGACGAATCTAACTTAGTTTCATTTATAGATAATATATCGATTTTACTATTGTCCATAAAGATTCTTAAATCATCAATGTGAGCTAACAAACTATATTTATGTTTAGACAAGCAATTGCAAGACCATGGCTGAATAATCTAGTATATGGGGCTTCGGTATTAGAAATACGAGATGCGAATAAAGAATTAACTGACTCTCTTACGGCAATTTCCTAACAGGAATTAATGTACTTAGAAATGTTCTTGGTGATGGCCTCGTATTTCGCGGAGACAGACTAGTCGTTCCAACGTCGCTGAGACGACAGATGTTGATTGAACTTCATTCGGTCCATCAAGGACTTGAATCATCCATGCGCAGAGCTAGAGAAAGCATCTACTGGCCACACATCAATCAAGAGCTACGACACCATATCGGACGCTGCGACGCCTGCTTGACCTACCATGACAAGCAACCGAAAGAACCACTATAGTTTCGCATGAAGTACCTAACAGAGCCTGGGCGAAAGTTGGCTGTGATTTAATTGAGTTCGACAACAAAAATTACCTTGTAATCGTCGACTATTTCTCAAATTTCTTTGAAATTGACCGTCTCGAACAAGCAACAACAAAACACGTGACAAAGAAACTCAAAGCACACTTCGCGAGATACGGAATCCCCGAGACTGTCGTTACAGACAATGGCGCACAGTTCATTAGCAACGACTTCAACACATTTAGTGCAAAATACGGTTTCGAACATGTCCGGTCCAGCCCACCCCATCATCAGTCCAACAGAAAGGCTGAATTAGCGGTGAAACAAGCAAAGAAAATGATGAGAAAATGCAAAGATTCCGGAGACGACCCATATCTTGCTCTTCTAACGCTCAGAAACACGCCGTAGCAACATCACGAAACGAGTCCCGCACAGCGTCTATTGAATCGACGTACAAAGACCCGCCTACCGACGCATCCCAAACTGATGAAACCGCAGATAAACAAACAAACAGCACAACGTATCCAAAAGCAAAAGAGGTACAGAGAAAATACTATGATCGAAGTAGAAAGAACCTCAACCCATTAAAAAACGGAGACATTGTGAGAATGCAACCGGTTAAGTTAGGCGAAAAGAAATGGAAGAAAGGCCGCGTTGTCCAAAAAGTGGGGCTTGTAAGTGGGCTTGTAAGTGGGCTTGTAAGTTATTATTCTTAAACGAATAGATTGCAGAAAAAACAGTAAAAGAAACGGTTTTTAAACACTGAGGAGGTCACACATGTACAAGTCAAATTCTTTTTGTCCAAAAAGCAGCGAGTAAAGTATAAATTGGGCTTGTTTACCTGTACTGAGTAGTTCACAAATTATCCCGTACATAATGCATCAGTCAAAACAAATCGCTGTTGTTTTGATTCATCGGTTGAACAAACAGATCCATGTCTAATTTCTTAGAAACAGCTCGAAAATTCCTCAGGTTTCCTTAAAATTCCTTAAATTGGTACCTTAAAAATTCCTTAAAAAGTCTGACGATAATTTGTCGCTTGATGTTGTCCCACGCCACGTAAGGCGGTAAGGCGGTATTGTCGGTATGTAGCTATTGATTACGTCACGTCCACGATCGTGCCCGAGCAGCCCTAAGTATTTTGAAAATATCCGAAATTGAGGAGATTTTGGTTCCGTTCGTCGCTAAATTTGCCCAAGCTACAATCAAACCATATTATTTAGAAAGAGAAATCTTTGTGAAAAGATGTAATCGAACTTGGTTTGCCGTACGACAAATTTGAGCGGAGATATTTGACTTTGAAGGCGATGCGGTCGTGCCGCCCGTGATTAGCCTTTCACTGTTATATTATAATTATACTAGAAAATACATGCATGCAGAAACCCTCGCCTTACTGACAAAACATTATGTTTTCTGAAAATGAAGAATTGAAAGTAGTTGTCATGGTAACACGATAATTTTAAGAATATTTTTGAACCTGGTTTTAAAATTGAAAAATGCTCCCAAAATATCACTTTTAATAACAAAATTATCAATTTCCCAAACATATATGCTAGGTATGTTATTATACGTAATATAAGCTTCAATTTAATGTAAAATTCAACCACAAACGCTTCGCAAAACGCTTTAAAATGTTCTTAAAACTAAACGGCCTTTTATCGAATTATGGGTAAACATTGAGTTTGAAATAAGCTGATTTCAAATTCTCGCATGAAAATAACTTTGCTTTCCTCTTTATTTAAATACTTTAATATACAAAAGAAAAGGTAATTAATTAATAAAACTACACTCAAATTATATGCTGTCTTTTTTTCACTTATATAGCTACGCAATGATAGGTTTAGTTCGATATTCGCCGTATCGCCCACCACTATCAGTTATTATAAATATATCAATTATAAAACAAACAATACATCAATATTTAAAACAGACTTACCTTCGTTAACGTCGGCGACTTTGCTATATTCTTTTAGACGTTTTTAGACGTTTTTGGCTCTCAGAAAGGTTTTGGAATTTTTCAAAATCTTGCTAAAATACAACTTGCAAGAACTGTTTGTTATTTCGCTCATTCGCTGTCGTCAATGCAGTCGTTGTAATGCAAATTTCAAGTTTGACCAATTAGTGTTCACTATTCACGACAGTCCGCTACATATTTTGAGATCAGTGAGGATGACCACCCATGAACCATGAACGATGAGCCATGCGCCCACGATATTTGCGCCCACAACTTCGCTTGTGCTTTCCTTTCCCCGGGTGTAAATAGCCGCGCGGAATTAGTACCCTCGCACGGCGCTTCGCGCCTCCGGCTCGGGGATAATGAGCACACACAATGTAGGCCACAGAAAATGTTACATCAACCGCTCTAAATGAGCTCATGGAGTAATTAAAAAAATGCAAAGATATTATACTATCATGTCAACTATATTTTATTGTTAAAATGTATTTATTTGACTAATTTGAGAATGTTTTTAGAATAGTTTTGGTTGACTATAAATTTGTTTATAAAAACCGTTAAAAACCCGCAACACTTGATCATTCATTCTGAGATTGGGCCGCCTGTGGAGAGATTAGAGATTTTAAATTTCTCCACTATGGTCCCTTCGTCATTGGCGCTCGTGTTTCAAATTTTTGTTTGCATCAAAATGGAAATTGCTTGCTCATCACTTGCGACAAAATGGAAATTGCAGTTCTTTCATAACATGTGGAAGCACTGACAAATTTGGCCAACGTTTCTTTATAACCAGGACACAACGTTAGATAATTCTCATGCTTAGTTGACTGTTGTTATCCCCGAGCCGACGGCGCGAAGCGCCGTGCGAGGGTACTAAGTCCCCCCGGCTATATTTACACTCGGGAAAACGAAAGCATTAGCGGAGAACAGGTGGGAAATTTGCTGTCGCTGGCCAACAAATTGCGGGCGCTAGCGAAAATTTTGTTTTAAATTATTAAAATGAGCAAAAACAAGTTTTTGGGCTTCTCGTTTGGGACTAGCCTGCGTAGCAGTCGCTTTATTTTATTGCAGGTTTTGAGAATTTTTGAATAAATGGCGAGTTTTTGTTTGTTTTTCTTTTGGAATTGGATCAAAAAGGTGGTTGCAGGTATTCAGATCCTGGAATGCTGCGAAATGGCCCTGCTGACCTGTTGGGACATTTTATTGGGTGAACATCAAATGATGGGTGGAGTGAAATGAAATTTCGATTCAATGTAACTGATAGAATTGGAATGGTATAGATAATGGTGATTTTAGTGAATTATGTTATGATGATGCATGGACTGTGATGATGTTGGTGAAGCTTGATTTATAACATAGATATAAAGTGATGATACTGGTGATATATGAGTTGTAAAATGATATGAAATATAAGTAATACATAAGTCTGAACATTCAAGCGAAAATGAGACATGAATAGTAAAACTGTGACGTGTATGATTCGATTGATTGTTTTTGTGAAAATCGCGCAGGCATAACCGGGTGCGTTTATAATGTGAGATGTATTGTGATGATGCCAAGACCTGGGTGAATGCCAATGTATCGCCACCCAGGTCAAGTCCCATGTGTTTTGTGTTCAAAACTAAGGTTATGTTCTCATCAGGCTCCAAGCATAACCGGGAAAGCACGTTTCGACCCCGCTAGCTGGTCTTGGAACTACGTGCCCGCATATAAATATTCATTTCTGTTCCCGTTTGTATGAATTATACATGTATGACATGTGCTTGCGCGAAAAAATCTGTTGATTATTTCGCCTAGGAACAGTGTGAAAATTGGTTGAATTTGGTATGTATTCTTTGTAATGGGTGAAAATGATAAGAATCTCATGCGTAATGTGGTAATTTACGGTTACGGAATGTAAAAAATGAAATTTACTTACTGATAGATGTCGTAGAGCGTACTTTGCGTGTAGGCAAGGCGAAAAGGAATTTTTAGTGGGCGAGGGGTTCTAGAATTACGTCGGGGGGGGGGGAAGACTGAGATGTGAGGGGTTGGGATGGGATTAGGGTGGCTTGGTTGGGGAGGGTTAGTTGATGGTGTGTACACGGGTTTGGAATGTGGTTTGGGGTTAAAATTCCGGTGGGGATTGGGTTAGGTCTGGATTGCTGCTCAGGATAGTGGATTGAGTTAGTTTTTAACAGTGCTGTAGGTTTGCGAAGTTTAGAGTGGGTTATGTGTGTAAATGTAGGAATGTGTCCCTGATGAAAGTGGAAACATTGGATGAAAATGTTTATTGAGAGGTTGAAGTGGATAGCGAGGGATATATTGATGTTATGATAGCTCTGTAATGGCAGAGTTTGTGGCAGAAGTTTTTTGCCACAACATTGTTAGTGGTTTACCGTCTATTTCTCGTTCTTTGAAAGGTGAATGGTGGTTCGAAATGGAAGTGACGGTGGTGTGTGATATATATTGTGAATGCTCCGTGGCGCAGTGTGTGGCAAAAAGCTTTCTGCCACGAAATTTGTAATTAATATTTGTGGATGGTGAATGTTGATTAAAACAGATACTATTGAAGATTTTTTGATGGCTTTGTGGCCGAATTGCGACAAAGATTTTTTGCCTTTTATTTCTCGTTCTTTGAAAGTGAATGGTGAGATATTCTTATGATGTTGGGATGGTTGGTCAGGAATATTTCTGGTGGGTTTTTGGTCTGGGTTTTGGGTGGATATGTATATAAAGATATATAAGTATATATAAAAAAGATATACAGAAAGTACATAAAAAATATATAAAAATTATATACAACCGTATAATAGGTGATGCTGTGGTGTGAATTTAATAAATCGGTCTGTGGTTGTATACTTTTATTTGTTAATTGTGTGTTGATTAAATTGAACTGTGTGAAGTGTTTGGATTATAGTATGTACAGATTTGATTGTTTAATTTGATTGGTGGAAAACATTTTTTGTTCTAAAACTATTTACATTGGTTGCCTGATTAGTGGAATGTTCTGATCGATTAAGTAATTGATTGTAAGCCAACTATATCCTACACATGTTCGGATTTGGGTTATGGATTTCCCTGTGGATTCGCCAATTCGGTGTCTTTCATGGGAGGCCTTCCCTAGTTCATAGTGTTAGAATGTACTGGCCATGTTATCAATTTACAGGAAATTGTCTTGTCCTGTTCATTTCAACTGTATGCTGTAGATGTGATTTGAGTTGATTTCCCAGTCTTGGATAAGCTGGAGGTGGGTATCTCGGTTTATTGTGTAGATCTCCATATCGTTGATCCTTGTTTGTTTGATACATCCATTATTGGGTGTCTTTAGGAGGGGGGGGGTGTTGATGGGTGGGGGGGGTTGTGTTTATTTTGGCATGTGATGTTGGTGAGACAATGTGGGTGATTGGGTGAATTTGGTGCGGACGAAGTGTTCTTTGAGATTTTTGTGACGTTGGTAGGCTATGACTCGTTGTTCCGGCCATACCCGTGATAAAACAGGATCGTTTTCAATATAATGCCAGTGTTGTGTAAGGATGTGTGAGAGTGGTGCGAGATCTGGATTGTACGGAATGACGAATGGTAATGTTCGTGTATTGTTTTTGGGTGTGGTGTTTATGAGTAATTGTGACTGGGTGTATGATGAGGCTTTGTTGATGTGAGGGAGAATATCCTTATCTTTATATCCTCTTCCAATAAGTGCGACCCGGAGGTTTTGTGCCTTTTCTTGGAATTCTTTGTCAC